CTTAGAGCACATTTCCACCAAAATGGCCTAGGTTTCTCTTGGCACTGAGCTATCACAAGCCCAAGGCATAAATACACACAGGCATTTATGCAAACAGTATTATTCTTTCTTAATTATTATCAGTAGCACTGATGAGACTAGATTTTTAGTAAAAATCGGCAAAGATTTCACAAATTAGTTCCGAGGGGAGAGAGAGGTGGGAAAATTAGGAGTCCTCTAAGCAAAATATTAAAAATCTTGGTAAGTTTATACTCACTTGATACATTTTATCATAATGTTTAATCTCTTTATATAATGCAATTGTATAGTAACTGTTTGACAGCCATTTATCTGCCATCTCATAGTACTAACTGCTATCACAGAGGGAATGGGTCCTGCAAATAATCCAGGAAAGAAAGGGTAAAAAGGACACTCATGTTTTGTAGCTTCAGGAAGAGGTATACACTTTCAAGCACTTTCCTTGCCTCAGGTCCTCCATCTTCCCCAAGTAGTTTGGAATTCTGATTTCAAAACTTGCTCTCCACATACTCAAGTGTTTTCTCCACCTGCCCTAAGCTGTTGCTGGGATAGGATCTCTTATTAGTCTCAAAGAACCCGATGACTTCTGAACCTTGAGATTATAAAGCAAGAAAGTTACTGAACACTCACATGCAAATCGATTGGCTAAGAAAAAGTAGCACAAAGTCCTGCCAAAAATCCTAGCTAATCTGATAAAGGAAAAACCAGGGAGGTCTAAGCATTAAAACCTGCAGTTTAAGTTGAGCCAATTCCAGCTGCAGAAGGAAGCACATCACATTCAGCAGAGCACCTCCTCTTCTGAAATGCCATCTGAAAAGACAACGTTTTACCACCCTACTGCCCAAAGAACACAGAAAAATGTGTGGGACTGTCAGGTAAATTTCAGACTGGTACCAAACACAACTTGAAACTGACTGGAAGGAGGGAGAAATAAATTTACAAGATCTACAACAGGAAGCCAGCTAGCACTTAAGTACTCCTTTAACTCTCCCCCTTTCAATGCACTTCACAAACAATTAATCCTCTTAACGTCCATGCAAACATATTTATTATCCACAGTTTTAACTTGTAAGCTCTTCATGAAATGGTCTAGTTCTTTTTCTAGCTTAATTCACTGCCAAAGCCCTGTTCTAATGTGGGACAGCTCTCAAGAAACCTGCTCCCATCATCTCACTCCCATCAGCATCTTACAGAGGGACAAGAAAGGCACTTAATGAAGAAAACACTTTTATAAACTAGTCAAAAGTATTTTATGCTAGTTAAGTGCTCAAATCTCAACCTCCATGCTCCACTCTTCTTCAGGCTACATAACCAAAAGACTCTTCCAAAATTCATTAGTAGCTCTGGCCAGGCTGGAAAAGCAGCTCCAAATTTTGGAGACTCCCAAGCCCCCACCACACAAATGGATTCACACTCCTGTGCCCAACTCAGCAGGAGCCATCAGCACTCAGATTGCAGCCACACAGTGGGCATGAAAAAAAAACCCCAGCATCCTCCCACAATGGGTCTGAGGACAAATGTGTATGTATTTTCCTGTTGGCATCTGCACTACAATAGAGAAAAACCTGCAGTTAACAAACATGTGCAGCAATATTTCGCCCTGAATCACACAAAAGTGTATAGAGACACCTGGACCTTGTGAAATGAAGTTTATTACACAAGGCCTTCTTTTATGGCAGTATATATAAAAAGGGTTTAGTCTTTATTTCTCTACCCAGCTGAGACAACCTACTTTCTCTGCAGCTGCTAGGAGAAGAGAAACTATAAACATTTACATTTAATGCAACAAAAGGTTTGCTCACCACCTCTTGTGTTCCACTGTGCTCTTAGACGATGATCACTCATCATAAAAATGGGTGGAGCAGCTGCAAAACACTCAGTGATGGAAAAACTGACTCCCATGTTCAGGAGAGGTTCCTGCACAGGCTGAAAAACTCCACTGAAATGGAGTGTTGTCATTACTCCCAGGATGGGAAATCTTTGGGCTGTGGATGCAAACACATCTGCTACACAGCACATGAAGCAGTCTGTTTTAATTTATCTCAGAATCACCCTCTGCACCAACTCAAAGACCTTCAGATCACACTACAGAAACTGTTTTAATCGAGGCCACACGTAAACTCAATCAGCTCCAGTTTGGTCTTAAACAATTAGAAACCAGCACTCTCAAGTACAAAGTGCAGACCTGAAGATGTCCAGTGCCATCAGCACTGCAGCCTTGCTGCTGCAGTGAAAGATTTATGGTAACAGGGAACAAAACAACAGAATTCATCACGTAACACCAGAGGTACATCACGTAAACCTCACTCCTTGGCTGACTCACTAAGCGATATTAACTCAAAAAAAAGGCAAGTCCAGTTTTGCTACCATCTCACTTGTGGGTTCAGCAATTAGGAAGTGTGCTGTGCACAAGCTCATGAGCCAAAAGAAATTAGTCTGTATAAGAGTCAAATATGGCCATCCTGTCCTCCCCTTCCCCCCAAAATAAATCACTTCCCCCCCTTCCTTTAACACCTGCTTCCTCCATCCAAGCATTCATTGTCCCACTGCTATTATGGGACTAAAGGCTTCAGCATCCCAGAGGAAACTCAGGAGGGAAAACTGTGTGTGTAAAGTGATCAAGACTCATTCCCTTCAGCCATCTCATTCCCCCAATCCCTTTTTTTCCCTCTTTTCCTATTGACAGCAAATTTCAAGATTTGGCAGGCTGTTGATAGCCACACATGCTGGGAAGCCAAATGTGCCACACGCACATCCTGGTGTTGAACCCCACTGTGCCCAGTGTGGACTTTTCTTGCCCTCACACCTCACCAAGAGCCCACAACCAACACCAGGGGACAAGAAAGAAGGCCAGATAACCCATGGCCTGACCCAGAACAGCCTTTTGTACTGTTACCCTGAAGGGAGACACTTCACACATGCAGCCACTCTGCATCCCTAAAAAGTGGCAGAAGCAGAGCAACATCAGGAACATGGCAAAAGGAGCCTCTGGGCAAAACCATCCTCAGCATCAACTTCCACCAGGAACTTTTTAACTACAGGAGGTCACTGCACACTCACACTCCCACTTTGGTCTTTCCTACACTGGAAACAGGGATACCTGCAGGAACACAATGGGGCATCCAGCATCCATGTGACACATGCCAGGTGTGTTAATCCAGGGAAAAGAATGGGTGAGTCAGTAGTTTGAGTCTGAAGACAGTCTGGTTAAGAACAACTGCTCCATGCCAGAATCTTTGTTTGTAATGGTTTTACTAAGTGCAGCACTCAGACTTACAGAACAGTTACACCACTGAGGGCAGAGACACACTGGGAAAAAGATTTACTTTCCCAAATAACTTTGCCAGAAACCTCAGATACAGTTTAGATGAAGATACAAATATGTCACAGATTTTAACATAACTGGCTGCTCCAGTTTGCATTAGTCATGGGTGATAAAAAGCACAGAGGACTCAAACATGACACATCGGGCACTTTCTCTCTACACAAAGTTTTGATCATCATCATCCAGTGACCTTTAAGATGACCACCTTAAATCATGCTCACAGGGGAAAGTCTCACAAAATTCAGCCTCATTTTTAAATAAATAATTTCTCACTTATTTTCTTTTCCCTTGCTGTCAGAAATAAAACCTGAAGGAGCTGCTACAGAAGAAAATGCTTAAATGCTTCCTTTTACAGTGGATCAGGCTAATCTCAGCGGTGCTGCCACACTGTAAATAATATCTCACATTAAAAAACAATTTGGGGAGACCTCTCACTGTGTATTTTGCAAATGTAACATTAAGGTAAAAACAGTTCAGCAACAAGACTACCGGGAAAATTAGATCAGTCACCTGAAAGTAGTAAAAAAAAATACAAAAAGAGACTAGAAGCAGTCAGAGGATGCTGTGGCAAATTTTGCATAGTCTATCAGAAAATTTCACAAGTGCTTGAAACAAGGACACAATGGATCCGTTGCAACTACCTGTGCTCAAACATTTTAAATATTATCTCAGAAGAACAGCTCTACAGGATCCAGTGAGCAATCAGTCTCCACCCCATGATTTTCAAGGAAATCAAAATGTGACCGCATGAAAGGATCAAGCCTACAAGAAAACTGTGACAGTTCAGTTGCCACATTGACTGAACAAAAAACTGTGACCACTTTTGGAAAGACAAGAGCAACCAAACAGGAAAATTATTTATTATGAACAACTCATAGAATCACAAAAATAAATAAAAAACAAAAATTAGCTGAAGAGATTGGATCATTTTGAATATGAAAGTGAATTCATAGTCTTTACAAGGGGCAAGAGATTCAAGAAAATACCAAGTAGTCCAAGAGAATTACTCATGAGAACCTGTGCTACAGAATTATGAGTTCACTACTGAAGAAGCACCAGTAATTCTGGATTTCTGCAGCCAAGGCCAGAATCAAGGTCCTGTACCAACCATGGAAGCCTCCAAGGCCCACACCAGCAGCAGACCTTGCCCAGAGGTACCAAACACAACCTCACAAAACATGGTGGAATACAGTGGAATACACTGTATTTCAAGCCCTCAACACAAGTGCTGTAGAAGGTACTGACAGTAGTTTCAGAGGTAACTTTTCCTTATGTTTTCTCCAATCCTAGATTAAATATTTAAGCATTTGGACTGTGAGAACTTCATTGCTATGCCAACAAATTAACCTTTTTCTCGCCCATATTACAAACCACACAATAAACTCTCTAGCATCAGATTCTTAGGTTTCTTTTCAATATATATAAAATAGTCTTGTTAGAATGCCTGACCATGTCACAACATGTAATCCATTACAGCTGCAACAGAACTAAAGCTTACTTTTTCCAAGGTTTCACACTTCATACTTTTTAAGGACTGTTGACTACTTAAAAATATTTTTGATTGTACTTTTTCTCCTGTTCCTCAACAACCTAGCAGCCTACTTCAAACAGTTATAAAGAAAATCTTAAAAAACATTACTAAAATGGCAGAACTTACTTTAAAGAAAAGATTTCTCTTCACTCTCGACGGAAATAACTGCTGTCTTACAGAACTTAAAAACTGAACTTTGACTTTTAACTCACTGACTTATCTCAGAAACATCTATCTCCCATGTCATCTTCTCATGCTATAAAACAGGGATGGGCACCACAGTCAAATGCCTTCTTTGCAACTGGAAAAGCACTTCCAAGAGTTTAGGTTTCTCCTGATGGAAGCATCCAATCCTCTGCCACAGCAGCTGCTGGTGATAACACAAGGGAACATGAGTCAGGTAACTGATGCAGGTACAGAATGAACTTTTTTTTCTTAATTGATACAAATTATGAATTGCATACATGAGAAACAATAATGTATTCTTAACTGGAATCCATTTCCCAGTCTGGTTTGCTGAACATATCCAAAACCCTGGTATGACCCAGCTGGGGAAATGGAAGAGGCTGCTTACGCTACACCAACACACAAAAGAGATGACAAAATTGCAGTTCAAGTTTAGGATGATACTGAAACTTTTACCTACTGCCAGCTCTTTGGAGAAGGACAATAAACTCTTTACAGGATTTGTGGCGTCGCAGCTTATTTGTCATGCAGACATTACAAGAGGAGTCACCCTGTTGCCCTGACAAAGCATCATAAATATAAAGAGGTGTATCCTTCTGAAAAAGATCTGTATAGCTTCACTGCAGCAACAAGTTCCCTGCATAGCTGCTTTTCCTGGAGCACTGCCATCATATTTTCTTATCAGTAACTGAAGTAACTAACCAGCTAACTCCCAGTGATGGGCTTTGCCTTCTAGATCTGCATAAAGGTCATTTGCAAAGGGAAAAAGGCAGGCTTGATAAATAAATAAATAAAAAGAAGCCATTATGCCACTTTTATATCCACGGCTCTGTTTCCAAAAGCCACTGAGAAGTGCAATGCCAGACTGAAGTGTCTGACTATTCAGTAAGTACAAGGAGTGGCCGATTCCCTCCCCACAGTGAGATTGTTGACAGCTGTTTTAGAAGAGGGGAAAAAAAAAGTGAAGCATGACTAAGCTATTCATAAAAATCCCATTATATCAAACACCCTAAAAACAAGTTTTGTTTTAGAAAAGATGCAGGGCTTCCTGGACGTGACTGACCAGGTGGTATATGCCAGCCCTAAACCAGGCTCCCAACTGAATTATATCCCCTGTGGCAAACCCCAGGGCAGCAAAGAAGGGACTCTATTTACACCTGAGCTATCAGCTGCTTCAGAACGTCACTCATTACCTTTATCTGTCCTACAGGTGATCAATGCAAGCAAGCACATGAGCACTTGGCACCGAACACCACCCAGTAAGCACAAGGTGCAGGCTGCAAGGTGTTTTCCGCCCCAGCTTTCCACATCCAGCCTCTCATGTGCCTGCAAATAGGAATTATCCTCCAGCTGGAAACCACGCCAACTGCCAACTCCCTATCCAGGAGACTGGTAAAACATGGGGCCACAATCACACAGGGAGGCCATATCATGCCTTTACGGCCTCCCGGACTACCCAGCCTTTTGCTCGAGTTTTTAACCTCTTAGCAGCGCCTTCCACCAGTAGAGCAAAGCCAAAACCAAATAGTTCCTCCATACAAATCAGCTGTGTGGTTTAGCTGACTTCAGGCTATTTATTGCCTGTGTGGGGAACCCCTGTAGAAATAGCATCTAATAGCACTCAAGTAGATTGCAGAGATAACCAGCTACAGTAATAAGCAGAAAAGCTTCCAAGCTGCTTCAAGGTCGGTTTTATTGGCGAGTGGATCACCACCAAATAGCAGGCAGAGAAAACTGATACGTTGGTGTCCTGGAAACAGTGGAAAAGAAATAGGTACAGCAGGCACTGCAGCTTCTACTAACGATTTTTTTGTTAAGTAGCTATTTAATAAAACTTATTATTCCAGCAGAAAATTATATGAAAGAACCCCACTGCTTTTGCAACACAGGAGCATGTGAACACTAACAATAAACCTACCAGTGTTTTTTTCCTCTAGGATAATTTATTGACTGCTGTTCTTAATTCATGCTTTGGATAGAATAACCAGATTCCTTTAACAGTACTTAATCCTCCTCTTAGCACAGGAGTGTACCCTAGACCAGAACACGGCTTACTCACAAGTATATCCTGCTGAGAGATTAGTGAGTTCTGCATATGCCTGAGTCTCAAAGCTGCGCTACGCAGACTGTGTTTAAAAACATCCATCATCAGATAGTACCTGGCAGAACTCTGTTCCTACGAGAAGCTTTGAGCTCTTCAATGTGTTTCCCTCCTTTGATGCAGCGAAGCTGTAAATCAGGAACACCGAGCTCCCGCCTTTCTCTCTGGCTGCAGTCCCTGGCTGGACTCTCTCACTTCGAACACGTCGTGTCCTCACCTCTCGGGCTATGCCGGCCATCCGTGGCCGCCAGAGCCGGGCAGGAAATCCAGGTTGGAACGCCGTCACACAGCACAGCTCATCCACACGACCTGCAGGGGACTCGTCATTCAGGCTACCAACAAAACCTGTCTGCCTGGCAGAACTCAACATCCGTGCCCTTCCAGCAACAGCCCCAGGCTAGCCCGTCTGCCCAGCACTGGGCAGTGCTGCAAGGACAGACGGGCGATGGAGAGGCTCAACCCATGAACGTGGACAACAGGTACACACCTGACCTCGTGCCAAGGGAAAACACGTGCCCAGATGATTCTCAGCTTGCCTTGTGCACCCTGACCCTGTTATCAGGCTTGTAAGAAACCAACCAAAACAAAAAAACCCAAACAAACCCAATTTCAAGTGTGCGAACTGGACACTGCCACCATGTCCCAAAGCACAGCAAATGTCCCACTAATACAGACAGCACTTTCTATCCACAGGCAGGGATGTTATGAGGTTAACATCTATCTACTCCCACTTCTAAGGTATCTATGTATAAAAATACACCTCTAACACCACAATAAATGAATCATTAGTATCTGACCTTCAGGAACCCACATGGAACTTGGTTCACCATTATAATTCCAGAATAGGTCAGCAAGGGCGTGCAAAGTACAAGAAAGACACCCAACAAGGGTCTCAAAGAGAGTCACCACAAACAGAATTAATGTAGCTTGGCCCTTTAAAACCGATTAGATTACATTAGCCAAAACTCCCAGCACACAAGACATCCATAGATCTCAGACCAACTGTCTAAACTCAGCTCTGAAGCTACATGCTTTACATATTTCTACTGCATCGCATATCTCCATGAGTACCTAAAGTTTTACGGCTGACGGAGATTACAGAGAGCCACAGCGACCAACTGTCCTACAGCAGTGCAGGATTTCTAATCCTTTTATCAATTCCCTATCTGGTCATCCACAGCAGTATTGATACAGCACACTCTTAAAAAAGAAAAAAGAACTTTTTATAAAACACTTTTTTCCCACTTCCAATCTCCAGCTAATATGGGGTAAGGACACTGGAGCAGAACCGATTCCAGAGGTCAGCAAAATCAGATTCTGCAAATCCCCACTCCTCTATATGACTTGCAGGGACAACACAGTCATAGAAGGTGGATTAACAAACCCCAACAGTTTACAGGTTCAGAAAAACTACTGTTTCGCAATCCTCATCCAGAAACTCCTACATTTGCTTCAGAAGAAGGGTCTGCACTCGAGAAGGGAGCAAAAATAAATATATTCTCAAGCAACAAAGTGAACGCGTGAAATAGACCCCACGGCAATGACCCTCTGAATGACACCAGAGGCCACTGAGACCCAGAGGTGACACACACCAACACCAGCGTGTTGCGGGGGGCTCTTGATACCAACCCGCGGAGACTTTCCGTGCGACAAACTGAGACACAAAGTTGTATCTGCGAGCCTGGAGAGGGGTTCCCACCGGGATATCAGCAATTCCAGTGCGGAGGGAGGCTGGGGGCCAGGCGGGAGCGTGTCCCCGGCACACCCCGGGCACAGCGGGGCTCGTCCCCGCGCGTCCCCCCGGCGGCGCCGCCACCCCCGCCCGGCTGCGGGGGGACCGCGCCCGGCCCCGGNAGATCCGGCCGTGCCTGCCCTGCGCCGTGAGCAGCGCTGGGGAAAGCCCCGCTCCCTGCCCCGGGGGCTTCTCCCTCGCCTGTGCCCCTTCCCGGTTGCTCGGCTGCCGGGGAGAGGCGGCGGCGTGTGTAACATGGTGCGGGTAGGAAAGCGCACAGGCTGCTGCTTTGGCTGCGGGTTTGTTTTTATCCCCAAACCTGGGGATTGCTTCATGCCTGGAGGAATTCAAAGCCAGGCTGGATGGGGCTCTGAACAACCTGCGCTAGTGGGAAGTGTCCTTGCCCATGGTGGGGAGGTTGGAATTGGATGGCGCTGAAGGTCCCTTCCAACCCAAACCATTCTGGGATTTTAGGATCCTGCCTTCCCACGTGTTGAGCACTGGCTGTAGGGCCTGTTCTGGTGGGTGCTGAAGTTTTTTAACTTGCAGCAGATAAAGCCTATCCCAGTCCCCAGAGCAGAAGCTGTCCAGCTGTGAACTGAATCTGCGCACATCTGTACCCATCACAAGCCCAGCAGCTCCATTCGAGTCCCAGCAGCCCAGCCCATGGCCTCGTCCTGCTTCTTCACCCTCTTCCCCAGTTCTCCCATGGCTGTGTGAGGTGTGTTGGTTCGGTGGAGGAACATCTCCCGTACCATTCCCACGCCTTGCCCCGGAAAAGCAGTGGAAACGGCAACCCACCATTAGCAAATGAGCTCATGTGGTCTGTGGTCCGTGTGGCTGTGCTGGAGCCGGCCCGGCAGAATGAAGATGCTTGATCTCTTGTGGTGGTGACTTGCCTTCAGTTAGCGTTTTTGTTGGAAGCTCTTTGGAAATGTGTACATGTGGTGGCCCAACATTTCCACTTGGCTTTTTCTACTGCACACGTGCACATCCCTCTAATCCTGGCAGTGGCTGGATGGTCATGTCCACAAAGGCAGTATCAGTGCTAAGCTTAACATACGTCACTTCATGGGAACCACCCCAAAAATACTCAACAATACTTTCCAGAGACCTTGCTGCTGATCAGAGCACTGGGTGAGGGCCGCAGGTAATTCCCATACATCATGTTCTCTGTAAGTAGGACAGAAAAGCCAGCACTGCATACAGTGCAGATTATCTGCTGAAAACCTTGCATGTGAGCTTGGCATTGGCTGCCAAAATATGCCCTGTTGATTCAGTTTAAAGCAACTGAAACAGTAAAAATGTTTTCAATGCTTAGCCATTTTGGTCATTTTGGAGACTGGAATGTACCAGCATTGTATGCCCTTTACAGTCAGACAAAAAACAGTAGTTTTCTCTTACATGGGTCCAATAAAATAAGGCACATGAGAGCAGGGACTCTGGAAAAATATTTTCCTTTGCTTTACTGCCATCTGTATAAGAAGGGCTTATGAGGCAGATCACTTTGAAGTTCCCAGATCCAAGAAGAGGGGTCAGACACGGCAATGGCTCAGCAAAGAGCACCATCTAGTGAAATGCCACGTCCTGACGAAACTGTCCCTACAAGGTGCCAACCAAGCAATGACTGACATAGCCCAGCCCAACCTGCCTTGTCACATCTGAAGCAATCATGAGCGAGGCAGCATGGTAACAGATAACGCCTGCCTAAAATTTTCCATAACGACAACACCGAGCTCTTTAGCTCTACCCTCTTGGTTGTCCATCAATGGAATTTCCTTTGCTTGTCAGCTCCCTCCTGGCAAACCAATCTCTGTCTTCTGCTGCCTCGCCTAGGGCTTGCTGTAGGTGCCCTCTGTCACATAGTGGGGGTCAGAGGTCCCAAAGTGGGGGCTCTCTGAGCCTGTACCAGCTGTGTACACGCCCATACCATGTGGGCTCATATATGCTGCTCTTGCAAAGAGTTTGGAAATGGTTTTGGAGTGTCTTTTCAGCACAAGAGCATGAAGATCATCTGTCATCAGGGCTGCCCAGGAGCATTTAGCATAGTCATAATATTCCAGACTGGGTGGTAAGGAAATTAGCATGGATAATACTGAGGAAAGACAGTGCTTAGCACCAAATCAGGAAGATCAGCTGGTAGACAGTGCTCTGGGATGGGCAGGCAGCTCCTCAGACTGCCAAGGGATTGGACAGGGTCTCAGTTTAGATTTGAGCCCAGGTCCCCCTGGCCTATGGGTGGGCTCCTGATGCCCCAGGACTAGAGACCATGGAGCATGTGCCACAAAAAGCCTGTATTGGCCACTTCAGATGCCCAGCTCCTGCTCTCAGCAGCAGTTAACACATCTTTTTACCTTGCATATCCCCAAGATTAGTCTGCACTCCACTTTAGTCTTCAAATTATCCACCCCCAAATTCTTTATATCAAAATATCCTGTCTGCACCCACATATCACCACAAACCAAAACAAGAGGCAGTAGATTAAGGGAAATTTGTGCAGCACTCTGTGGATGCCAACCTCCTGACAAATCCTTTGCCTTCAAATCATCTCTGACACTAGTTCCCCATGATTCCATCCTCTGCTATATGTCCAGGTCTGCTTTTCAAACTTTATAAAAATAAAATATTTTATTTATTTATTTTATTAAATAAATATCAGGTGTTCTTTCACTGCCTCTTTCAGATTTTAATTTGTTACAAGCTTTGCTGCAGAACTGAAGTGCAAGTTGCACTCATGAATGAGACTGGAATTTGGTTCTGCACAACATAATCTGAACATTTGTGTGTAGTGGCATGAATTAGCAATATGAGCCCATTGTTCCTGTTTGCTGGAAATGAGCTGTCCTTGCAACTGAATAGAAAACAGTGTGCAGTGCAATGATGGAAGCAGCAGCTATTAAAGATTTGTTTTCATCATATTCAAGCAGCTACAAAACTGAGACACTGAGCATTAGTGTGGGTGACAACAGTGTGTGGTGTTTTCTTTGTGACCCTGCTTGTTTGAAGCGGGTGCCTGGTAGCTGAGAATAACAGCAGCTACACCTGAAGACATTTTAATATAATTTTCCTTCTTCAAACTCTACCATTGTCACCTCTAAAGTCCTGTAAGAGGTACAATCTTTGCTGCAAAATAATGGACTGTGGCTGAAAGCAGCCTTTGGGAGAAATTAACCCATTCCTGTGTACTGTGTATTTCTCAGTTAAAATGTAAAAATTTTTAGTGTCTCACAATCTTCAGACATTGGAGTTTGCCTTTGGCACAGGAGATGCTGTGAAATGGGTGAACTGCAGTAAAACACATCCAAACCACAAACACTTAATGACCTGAAAAATTAATTTAATTAATTAAAAGCAAGTTCCCTGGGTTCTTCTGCCCCTCTGTGGAAAGTTTGTGGGGCCCTGGTGAGAGAAAAAGCTGTGCAGGCTTGAAAATAGGTGTCACCCACCATGTACCCCAGCTGCTCATCACGGCTCTTTGTGATGATTTCTCAATTCTGGGAGACAGTGCTTATCAGTTGCTCATGCAGATATCATTTTAGTTGCTCAATTTGTGGGGCA